ATTACTCGGCTAATAATCAAGCCTACCGTGTGGTGAAACAGAGGAAAAAACAGAAAACCACACTGAAGAATATTTTGTTTGGTGAACTAAAACATAGAACTACTGCAACAAATTGGCACTAGCCAATAATCAACTTGTAGTGTGTAAGAAGGCAGAGGGACTACAGGATTGTTGTCATTATTTTAATGATAGTACAACTTGCCTACATTACATGTGGTGTCAGGCACTATGTGAAGTGCTGTATCTCAAAGCTCAAAGCACAAGAAACCTTGACAATTATCATGTTGGAACATTTATATTATTGTTGAATAAATATGCTTAGAAAATTAAGGTGACATGCTTAGTGTAAGTTAACATGCTCAAGTTGTCAGTTTCCCTCCTTCGTCCCTAAAGGGTCTTGGTCTCTCGCTCAGTATTTCATATAATTACCGAGGCTCGTCTGTCTACATTGCTCCTAGAGAAATTTGAGTTTTATCCTGCATCATATTTTTACCATCTCTGGAGAGGTGGGGGGTATCACTCATATGCCATAGTGTGCATACGAAGACTGGAGAACACCTTTGTAGATCTGATTCTCTCCTACCTTCATAACGACTCTGGGAATTGAACTAAGGTCATCAGGTATACACTGTAAGCACCTTTACCCACTAAGCTAGCTTGCCAGCCCATATCCTATTTTCTTTTTGCAGATATACCATCTCATAGCCAAATATTAAATATCCTTCCAATTGAACTTGCTAGTTAGAAGCTATGAGACTAGTAGTTAAAGGTAAAGAGAAAATATCATTTCTAACCCCACTGGGGGAAAGGGGAAGAGCTGTACTTCTCTCTCTCTCCTAAAATGAAGAAGGAAAAGGAAACCCACAATTTCTAGTGAAGTTTGTATTGGCAGGAAGAAGGATAGAGAGGGAAGATAGCTGCCTAATTAGAAGACGGGAAGGTAGAACAGAGTAAAACTCAATCTTCATTTCTATGTGCACAGACCTCAGCAGACAGCTGGAAACCTGTCAGAGAAGGAGGCCTTGGAAACAAGCTGGAAGACATTGGAGAGACTTTTAACCAAAACAAACAACAGCAGGGGATGTGGTTGGCAGTACCAAAAAAGCAAAGGACTCTGTGAGTCACTCACACAGTAACTTTGAATGGTATCATATCTCCATTTTGTTGTATAGGTTAGTTGTTTAACAGGTGGTACTATCGAAGATAGAATAGATGTATATATGTATAATTTAGACATGTGTTTTATCTCAAGCATGTAATATTATAGACAGAAAAAATCTAGCAAAAATATAGAGTAGAAAAATTACCCAATATCTTACTAAACTAAGGATTATTCAGTATTTTTCATCTGCATATTTAGTCATAACCATAATCAAGATGTAATTGTAATAATGACTATATCATTTTGTTCTGTCATTTTACTAAATACTGCTTTACAATACAGTGAAATATCAAGCATAAGGTTATTCTTTCCATCACTTTTTTTTGTATTATTTACAATGTTACTGAATTTTTCTTTGTGGAAATAATTGTAGCAATAATGACAGTAATCGCCGTTTTAACAGAAATCTACCATATGTCAAACGTTCTATAAATACTCTTTCTAAGTTGTATTCAAGTCTGCAAGGTAAGGAGAATGAGCTCTCTCTTATAAACAACAAAAGAAATGTGTAATCGCAGGTTAAGTGACTGATTCACTGTCAGAGCGCTAAGCTCTGAAGTAGATCTGCCTGGTTCAATGGTGCTGTGTCCTCACCACAATAAGCCAACTTTCCACTGCAGGGAGTATCTTTATTCGTCTAATTTGGAGTGTTCAATTATACACTTCTAAAAGCAGAATTATTAGTGTAAAGAGGAGAATCACTTTAAAACTGATGAGCACTTACTCCATGTTGTTTTCTATGAGGGTAATATTACTGTATCTTTCTGCAGAAAGAAATTAATTTGAGATATAATAAAAAGGGATAAAGTCATGTGTGAGTGACAGAAAGACAACTTTATGTTGTAAATAGAGCTTTAGTCATCAATGTCACGAAACTGGGTTCTGTTTAGAAAACCCAAGAATGAGAAATATTTTTTTACCTCTGGATCTCAATAGGTTCACATAAAATCTACACAATGAATGACTGCATCCTGAGCTCTCATTAAAAGAAATTCAGGCAGACTGCTCGCTTTGGATTAGGATATGAATTCCAGAAAGAGAATCACTCCTAGCCTAACAGCAAGAAAAAAAATCAAACAATCTACAAAATCACACTTTTTTAATCTAGAAAGAAGTTTCAAAGCAGTCAACAAGCCTTAAGTCTGAAGAAAGGCGTGGACTCACCTATGGCCGCAGGGGGAACAGACATACATAGAAGCAGACATGAAGAAGTCATGTGTTTGTTAAGTGAATTACTAAAGGCCACGCACGAATCTGCAAAAAATCTCAATAAGTGAGATACGGGATGTAATTGTAGACATAAAGGCATCTCTGTGTAGATTTATGGCACAAACATAATGAAGGAAGGTGCAACCCTACTAGGATGGGGCAAGAAAATGAACCACACAGAAACACACACACTCTCTTTCTCTCCCTCCCCCCTCATATACACAAGACTTCAGAAACTATGGAAACCAGATGGAAATGGAGGAACATGTTTATATTGCTGAGAGAAAATGTCAATAGAGCTCCTATGGCTGTAAATATCTTCCAGAAGTAAAGAAGTCATGCATTTCATTAGTCGAAACCTCAAACTATAAGGGACATTAAGGCCTTCAGTCTTAAGCTCTTCATACCAGATACAGAATTGAATTTTTATAAAGATATAAAAATTTTAGAAATGACTAAATTAAATGTTAATATAAAAGGCATTATTTTTATTTTGTCTAAGGAACTTGACCATCCAACTCCCAAAAACAATAAGCATAGAAACAATGAATATATAAATAAATTTATAGCACAATAGTAATTATATGTAAAAACAAAATTCATAATAATCATAATCATCGCACATCATCTGGTATACCACACAGCTGAGTGTATGAGCATTCCTTGACTTTCATTAATATAAAAACTATATTAAAGTCTTTATTGTGGTGATAGCTATATGACTATAAATATTTGTTTAAACTCATGAGTGAATTTTATTAATTTTATACTAAACCCGGAGTTGTTTTTTTTAATAAATTCTCATGCATAACATACCTTTTTTTTTTTTTTACCTTTTTGACTGTTCTTCTGGTCAAGACATCACAGCTCTGATGTCCTCTGATGGATGTTCAATTCTTACCTTACTTGCATCATTTGGTGATGGAGGAGTTGCTATACTTCTTAGTCAGAGGAATTACAAATGCATATATACATATATACATATGTCTCAGGAACTAAAATATCTATAGAATACACATATTCTAGATGTATCTGCCACAAAAAGGTATTTTGCTGCCCACGTCTATGGTATTTTATCATTGTATCAGGAGGCAAAAGTGAGAATATTAGCAAGTATGAAATAAAAATTAGCATAAGCAATATACTTGGCTCTGTGCCATTATTACTGTCTGTAGCTAATCGATTCTGTTTATTTGAAGAAAAGGAAACTTTTGTCCTTTTGATTATCACTCTCTCTGTTTTTCTTACTTGCTAAGTTTCTCTCTATATGTAGGGCTTGCCAACATTGCTCTTGGTACTCTGTGGAATGTACTTTGGTGAAAAAATTTAATAAGCATCTATCACTCCAATGTGGGTAGATAAATTAGAGAAGAAGCCTCATGCCCTTCTAGAGAGCACCTTTGTGTCAATGGGAAAGATGTTTCCTTTAGGTCTATATTAGGACACTGCGATCAGTGGGCAGTAAGGTTACCTAGTAGGGACACTGCTATTGGTTTTAAGGGAAAGGCCTTAGAAAAAGAAGTGCTCCCTTGTGCACAACCTTATATTTTATAACATATGATAGAGAAATAGAAATTTACCGTATTTTTGAGTACAAGAAGCAGGCTGGACTAAGGTGACAAGGCTATTTGCAAGTCTTTATTATTGTCCTACCCTGCTGGAATGTCTTAATATCCACCATGACAGCACTTCATTCTTTATCCTCCTGATATCAGTTTTTAACTCTTTAGGAGTTAGGTCAGCATTGATCCTTTAATCTAAATGAATTTTCATGTTTTATCTATCTATATTGCCAGGAATTTTCTAACAGTTAATGCATGACAATTAAAATTATAAAGCTGTCTGTTTACTTATATACTATATGTGGGTGTTTTAAAAAAGCCTCTCTACATATGCATACTTGACATGTTTCAGTATTGTAAGGCTCAAAAAAGCAGGACATACCCTTGTTTCATTCATTAGTTCATCCCAAGAGATTATCATAATTCCTGTGACATACTTAAATGTTTAATATATAATTATTAAGTAAGTGTAGCACACAAACCCCCACTGAGATTGAGTTTCTCTGTGTAACAGGCCTGGCTGTCCCAGAACTCATTCTATAGACCAGGCTGGGTTTGAACTCACAGAGATCCGCCTGCCTCTGCTTCCCAAGTAGTGGAATTAAAGGTGTGTACCATGGAAAGTGTAGCATTTCTTGAGAAATTAGCAAATTTTACACATTTGCAGACTCGTGTGCATTAATATAGAAAATTAATAAACTTTGCCTATCCATAATAAAACTTTGAATTTAAAATTGAATATAATAACTAAAAGTCATTAATACATATTATAAAACAAATGATATTATTATTTTGGCACATTCTATTTGGTTTTTTCCCCTTTCAGTCGAAGAGTTTTATTTTGCTTTTAATTTTGCATCTTATGTTCGTTGTTTCAGTATAGATTTTTCAATCCGTTTTTGCATCAATAAACAGTAAATTTTTAAACCTCATATTTTAAATTGATTAGCCTATCAGATTTATGAATTGTACTTTATACGCTGTATTTTATTTGCATTGTTAGGGTTTAACTCACAATTGCTGTTATTAGAAAATTAAGCATGGATAAATAACCTAGTTCCACTTACCAAATAGATTCTTCCATAAGTACCAAGACCAATGGTTTTATCTAGTGAGAATATTCCAGTTGGATCCTACAAAATGTAGAACAAAAATTATCAGTTTTCTTGGAAAAAAACTGCATTGTTCCTTTAGAATTTATAAAACAAAAGACCCTCCCTAGAACATATTCTTTGATGAACCCACGTCCCAAAAGAAATAGGTAAAAATGTCCTTAGACTGAGTGTAGTCACTTTTACACGCATCCTCATGGATTATGCCTTCATGGATTATCTTCCTATTTACCAAAAACATGGTTCAATAAATTTAATTTTCTTAATCAGAAAATCAGAAAAGCAGAGATTTTAGAAAATTTTGTATGAATCATAAGTAGATATCAAGTCATGCATAGAACGGTAGAGACATTGGCAAATACTTGCAAATCCAGAAAGTGTATAGAACACAAATATTTAGTGATGTTATAAAATGATGTTATAAAATAATTTTATCACTATAAAAATGCAAGATAAAAAAATAATAAACAGAAAGCTACTTAGTGTAAGAAGCATCCACGAAGAAAGTCATAGATTTCTTAAGATTAGTATGATATTTACCTGGTCTAGCAAAACTGTCAGGCAAATGACAACTCTGGCTCAACCTTAGTCAACACGTACACACAAAGCAGTCACAACAAGGGAGTTTTAGCTCCAGAGCTGCTATTTACTAACTATACAACTCTGGGCAGCTTATTTATTCTCCTGGTTTCCTTTAGCCCACGTGGAAAATAAAGGCATTATGTCCAGTGATTTCTGAGTTCTAATATTTTATAAGAAAAAAATCAGGTTCTTTGATCCTAAAATCAAGACATTTCCCCAGTATTGACAAAAACATTATTAGAGCAGCAACCCAGAATCCTACTTCCTTAAAACACTCATTGAAGTTGATATCACAATAAAGTCATGATTATAAGCAAGTAAATCAAGGTACATCTTCCTATTGAATGTTTAAAAAAATGTTTAAAGGACAGCTTTTAGTATTTGAGAAGTAAAGTCTATCTCTTATCTAGTATAACTCTCAGCTTTTTCTATGACTCTCAGCAAGGTTTATGGGGAAGAGGTGAATGACACAGGAGTTAGTAAGAACCAGCTCTTAGGGACTATCACTTTAGCATATTTCGTTCAAAGAGATCATTGAGAAGCTTTTTTTTTACACCATTAGCAATTCAAGAGAAACAACAACTGTTCACTTTTTTAAAAATCCATTAATTTATTTATTCATTTCCTCTCTGCTGTGTGTGGACATGTTCATACATGCCACGACACAGAGATGGAGGTCAGAGGACAACTCCTGAGGAGTCTGTTTTTTGACCTAGTAAGTTCCGGGGACTGAAGTCCAGTCTTCAGACTTGGGGGCAAGCATGATTACCTGCTGAGTCATCTCCCAGGGCCAGGTTCCTTCTTAAAACAATCAAGTTAGCTAACTCCTATTGGGTAAGCCATCTTAGACAACTCTCATATTGTCTGTCAATATAGCTGGTATCTCTGAATTTTCAGAAAAAGTCAGACATTTATTTGATCCTATTTCTGCCTACAATAATAAGCATGTCTTATAGTGAGATTTTGTCAGATGTCTACTCAGAAAAAGAAAGTGAGGAGCTGTAAAGTACAAACCCCAGAACCCTCATTTTAGCTTCCTTAACATTGCCAGAAATCTGTTTTCTAGTCACTGACAACGACACCATCTTAATTACCCTAACACTAACTTTAAATAAAATAATACATTCTTAAACTTCAAGTTTTAAAAGCATATCAAACTTAGTGTTCCTATGTTTTAAGGCTAATGTTTTCACTTAAGTTTGTTAATCCATGTCTCATCTGCTTTACAACTAAATGCTAACTAAATTCAGGTAAAAAGAGGGAAAAACTGATTTGTAAATTAATACTTCAGTCATTCCACTTTTATTTTGGATTATAAAATAAGAAACCCAGATTCCTAGATCTTCTCTCAAAAAGTGAAATTTAAAAAAGGGGGGGAGGGGTCAACTTATTTCTGAGCCAGAAACCACTAGGCAATTAAAAAAAAAAACTATTTTTCACATATTTTGACATATTCAAGTTAAAATCCCTAACTGAGTTGCCCTTAGAAGCTGGAATTTGAGAGTTGTTTCTTCTGAAGGCAGGAGGAACTGGAAAGACTGAGCACCACAGGGGCTCACTTTCTTAAGGGTGTGTGGTGGAAGGGTGCAGAAGAACCACTAGAAGGCAGTGTTTCCTGGTCAAGGAAGACAGTCCTAGCTTGATCAATAAAACTAAATGCGCCTATACAAAGGGGGAAAGAAAAGCAATTCATGGTCAACACAGGTAGCAGAGTTTCCAATGTACTTCCGTTCACTAAAGGTTAGGGAACATGTTCCACGGCTTACACAGCAAGGGTGGGAATAAACACTGGGGGTATAGAGATATGGCAGAGGATCTCTTCCACGTGTTTTAATGTTACAAAAAGTGCTTTTAAGAAAAGAACTTGTGGGTAGAGTTCCTAAAATGTTGGTTCGAATGAGCTAAATACTAGAGCAAAACTCAGAGACAATGGCTAGGATGAGCTTCACAATCAAATCAGAGCTTAGAGAAGAAATCCTTTATAGATGGCTACTTTGTAATCCATGGCTTGGCTATCTATTCCCTCCACAAGATTCATTTATAAATCTTGTTTAAAAATAAAGAATCCTTAGGCTAGTGGGAGATTATGAAATCAGAATTCCCTTAAAAGGACAGACAGTTCTTTTAAGATACCCAGATGATTCTCAATTCATGCACCCTGTGTGTGCACTAACATGAGGACCAGAACCTGCGCCAGGACAAGGAATGTGGCTCAGAAAATAGATTGAACCACAAGGTCAGGCCGAAGCAGTATTCTCCATGTAACGGATGCTATGCTGGCTGTTTCAAACCTGGTGCCCTCGAAGGCAAGAACTGGTTTCCACACAGTAGCTGAGGAACTTGGTCAAGTGGGAAGCATCTCAGGACTGAATGCAGAACTCAGGCTTTGCCTTCTTAGTGAAGAGTGGGGAACTGGATGTTATAATTAAATCTAAGCCTAATGTATTTCAAAGATAGCCTTTGGATCACGTACTATTTCGGATCACTTCTACCACTACTGTCCTCAAAGCCTGTCTAATCCTGACCCCAATATAGATTAGGAGTACACATGTCAGCGTCAAATACCAAGGGCAAAGCCACTAGGAATGTCATTACCATACTGGGCAGGAAATGCTTGGGGACAATCGTCGTGAGAGACCAGCTAGATTTGGCGAAGAAGAAGATTGAGTTATGCAGGCTTACTTGTCATAATACATATATAATAAATTATAAATTAATCAAAATGTAATATACAATTCAGTTATAAACACATACAACATTGCAATTATCTCTGCAAAGAAAACATAAAATCACAAATCTCTGTACTTTTCTTCTCATATAGGAAGTATATATTCAGTTAAAAATTGGGAAAAGTTAGAGCAGGTCATTAAAAAGTGTGATTATGTGGTGACCCATATTTACTACCAGTACATAGAAAATAAAGGCAAAAGAACTTGGAGCTCAAGAGCAGTGTCAGCTATAGAAATAGTTGGAAACCGGCCACGGCTACACGAAACCCTGTCTTAAAAACCAAGAGCAAATATGATTGACTGATAATTGCAATGGCTTTCGTATTTTATGTCTCTAAGGCCCTATGCAAAAGGTTTGATAAGTACACCAAAACAACATTTACGATTGTGAAATTTATATAATTTTTCTCTTCTACTTTCACTACTGATTAATGTTTCAGTATAAAACATTATCTAATTAAAAATACCACATAAATTTATATCACTTTTGGTTGTTTTGTGTCACAAAGAGTCTTTTTGGAAGCTCAGGCTATTCTAGAATACTATGTAGCCCACACGAGCCTCCAAGCCATGGTCCTTCTACTTCCATGGCTCAAATTTCCATCTGTTTCTTAGATTCTGAATGGTACTCCTGTACAAGCTTATACTCTCTAGGGGTTCTGGTTTATGTTCATTTACTTGAACAATCACAAAGAGTATGTAATGTATAAATACCAAACCTATATTTACTTGTACTTCTACACTCTTAAAGATTTACATATACGTTTATGTGTGCCTGTGTGATATGGGAATGGGACCCAGGGCCTGTGCGAGCCAGGCCTGCACTCTACAGCTCAGCCAGGCCACACCCTGGCCTCCAAGATTCTTTCTGATCACTCTGGCCTTTCAAGGTTTGAATCTCTCATCATTATCTAGCTGTTTGCAAACTGTTTCACTTAGCAGGAACATATGCCAATATTCTTCTGTCCTTCACATGTGTCCTATTGAAGATAACTATTGCAAGGGACACTCACTGCTCTGTGCCCTTTGCTTTGCTTGGTCAGGTCTCTCTGCATCAAACTGCAGATGTCTATCTAACTTATCAATTCATCTATTCAGTTACTTACAAAGTCTTCACAATATAAGTTAAATGTGAAATAAACATTAAATGTAAAAAAAAAACTACACCTCAGTGACTGAAGAAACTGCAACTTTCCATCTCTAAACATCTGATATAAAGACAATACTGAAGAGCATGCCACTCCTCAGCTATATTTCTCTTCTTGGAATTTAGATCTAGGGAGAGGGGAGAATTACCCATGATTTGCTCAGATAGTACAGAAAATTACTCTAATATAAAATTCTGAAATATAAGAATTTTCCTAAATTGAACCTTCCATGATCATTTAAAATGAGGGAAAATATCATTTTTACCCTATTTTTTGTGTCTTTTCCATATTCCCCAACATTACAAATCAAATTTTTTTCTTTTTCTCCTGTACCCATTACCACCCTCACCCAATCTTGAGAATACTAATCTTGTAGTGAACTATAAAATCAAGATTTAAGCCTTTTTGCTTATCTCATGGACTCCCATTAGATCTTTATGTTCAAAGCCATAACCAGGTGAGTGAATCCAGGGAGTTTATCCCCATTGTTTGTGGGAATAGCACCTTTACGGTTTCTGCTATTGTTGTTCTTGGAGTTTGGAATTCCCTGTGCTATCATTTCTATCCTCAATTTGATCCTTTTCAGAAACCAGTTTATTTCAGCTTGTCCATGTGTGCTTTCACACCACGTGGACGCACGCGTGCGCGCGTGCGCGCGCGCGCGCACGCACACACACTCTCTCACACACACACATGCACGCAAGCGCGCGCACATGGAGCTGAGGAGGCAAGGAGGTCACTCACGGGCTTTAATCTTAGTTAGAATCAAATCAACCTTAGACTGCATTGAAAAATTCTGCTCAGAAGGCAATTCACCAACGGAAGCCTCCATAATCCAGACATCTCATGTGTCCGTCCTGGAAAAGAAGTGATTTTAAGTGTATGTGGGATGAATAATGGTTTAAGTTTTTTAAATTCTTTGATCTTATTTTATGGAGTTGCAACAATAACAGCAATTCTAACAATTGACATGTGACGGTTTTGTATTGAAGCATATTCTTTTACTGACTGATAACAGTTTGCTAAAATATTAGCCATGTAGATCACCTCCTCTCACCACAGACCACACCACATACTGTGAAATTATTAAAGGAGGCCTTGGGAGTGGCCCATTTTTAGGGAGTCAGGTATCTGCCATCATTAACAGCACGTAGCTTTAAATGCCAAACATTCACAAAATTAATTAAGTCACGATGACTTTGAATAGTCCTATAACCTCACGGTTAATATTTAGCTTTTCTCAAGGCAAGGAGGCCAATGCCCCGAACTCCACATGCTTGGCGATCATTCCAACACAGTGCCTGGTTAGTTCCCCTTTGGAGAGTCTAGCAGACGTTTGCATTCAAGATTGGGTGCAAGTGAAATGCCAATCTAAAAAGGGAACTTGAAAAATGGATTTGGGTGGGATCCAGTATCAGCCAGAAACCAGATGCCAATGAAATAAACGGTGTTGTTACAGTAGTAAGCCTGTTGTTTGCGATGGCTTTAATGGCTCACCAAGCAGTTTCAACGGGACACGGAGCAAAAGGAGACCCTGCACATGATAACCACAAACAAAGAATTACATTTCATTATCTAGCGGACATAATACATTATTTTAAAAATTAAAAGGCCATGTTCAGAATTCAGTTTGTATCCAGGCGGCGTCGAGTTCTTTTCGCTCCAGCAACACTAAGTCGAGAACATTCTCCTGGTAAGAGTAAAGTTTTAGAAACTGCTACTATAGTGTGACTACGATGCTTCATTTTTTCTAGTGCTCATTACTTTTTTTTAAGGGCGTCACCCACAGGTAGAGCGATCTCTTCGGTGCGGGGCGGGGGGGGGGGGGGGGCAAAGGAGGTCGTCAGCCACTTGTCCGCTCTAGGAACCCTCCTATTACAGGTACCCGGGCCTGCTAGACAATGCTGGCTCTAGTTAAGAAAGGTCCCACCCTTTAGCACCCACTTCTTTCTCCCCAACCTCACCCTGTCCCTTTGATTTTTGTGGCCTTCACCTTGGCCAGGAGCCCAGGGGCGCTGATTCCGCACAGGAGCTTCTCTGGCCCATCCTGAGCCACGGCCCGTCGAAGTCCTGGCCTAGGCACTGGAGGGTGTGGGCTTTCTTCCCCGGGCTCTGCAAGCCTGGGAAAGAAGCGCACAAGAAGGGCGATGGCCTGGTGTCCTTTACTTACCGGTAAATGGCCCAGATCTGTCACCTCCTTGTCCCTCCAACCCCCTGGTCCAGCCATGACTTCGAGAAGAACCGGAGCAGGAGACCCAGACGGAGTCCAAGCAGGAGCGCTGGGACCGAGTCTCTGAGTTGAAGGAGGAAGAAGAGTTTAAGGGGGTCCCGGGAAGGGAGGAGGGGATGGGCGAAAGGAGAGGGGAGGTGGGTTTGTGGCGTGGGAGAAGAGGGGGAAAAATGGAGTGGCAAAGAACAAGCTTAAGGGAGAAGGAAGAGGGAAGCTAGGAGTTTTCGAGAGGCGGGAAAGAAAGTTGGGCTAAGGGCAAGAGAAGAGAGCTCCGGCGTCTGTCCGTCCGAGAGACGAAGAAGCCAGAAGGGTGCTCCGCGGCGAGAGCGCAGGGCGGTCCGGGCAGGGTGCGCCTTTCAGGGTGAGGAGGGGGGCGGTGCAAGGCCAAGGGGCCCGGAGGAGCTCGAAGGGGATTGGTGGAGCGTCACGTCGCCAGGTGGGCAGCCGCGCAGCGGGGAGGCGAGCCAGGGGGGCCCGGGGGCAGAGGGAGCCTCTAACGGTCTTCGGGCCGGCCCCTAGCCGCCCGCACCCCGCCCCCGGGTCCTGGGCTGCGCCTGCCGCCCCCGCCCCCGCCCCCGCCGGCCACTGTTCCACAGGAAACTTTTGCTAGGCAGCTGCCAGCCCCGGAAAACCGGTCCCGCTCAGCGCCGCTCCCAGTCTGGGCCCCACAGCCCTGCCACAGTCCAAACAACCCGCACCGTCATCTCCCCCGAAGAAACATTGTAACTTTCCTAGTGGTCTGAGTTCTCTAGCTCGCCCCCTCTCCCTTAATTGCTCCATCGATTAAAGAAGCAGAAGAAGAAGAAAAAAAAAAAAAGAATCAGGAAAGAGTGGGAAAGGATTCGCTCATCCGTTTAGGGAGCAGAGACTTGGGTACACACTAGTGCGAATGGAGAAACTGAGTCCCCAGGGCTGCTGCAGCTTGATCTTCAAAGCCTTTGGCACAGAACAGGACAGAAAGGACAAAGTTCCTTAGGTCCCCCTGGAGGCATCTGCGGCTCCAGCTCCTCTAGCCCGAAGGCTAATTGGCGTCTGGCGGAGGCTGCTCAGGCAAAACCACACCTGTGAACAGGTGTTTGGGTAAAGAGACACAGACCCACTGTCAGCAGCCCTGACTGTCCTGTGGCTCCAAAGTTTGCAGGCTTGGAGCTTACTGTGAGCCCAGAAAGTTTCTGCTTGCTTTCCAGCCTCCACTTTCCGGCCCGGTTTCATTCATTCACTCATTCATAGCAAAACTTTTAAGAGCTCCGGAGCTGTGCGCCCCTGTTTCTCCACAAAGCGCAAGGAGGTTGACACTTGGTTCCTGCATGGCAAACTTTAATAAGTTGCCTCTTCAAGCATTTACAGAAAAGGGAGCCGATGCGTAGAACTAACCGCATTCTAATGCTCTTGCGCACTACAAAGAACACTTCAGAAAATGCCCTGAAGCTGCTTACATTCCCCGGAGCGAGCTTACTGTGCTTAGAGCACCAGAACTCCAAGTCGCGATGCTTTTAGGACCTTGTTTCCTGTTTCTTTCTTTCTTTTTCTTTTTTTTTAAAACGAACAAATTTTGTTACCTATCCTAGGAAGATTTATACGAATAATTCCCCCCCCACACATACACACACACTGTCCTCGAATCTGTCATTTCTGACCCAGCTTCTGAACTTTTGTAATTGTTGTTCTTATATGCTAGTGAATTTTGTTTATTTTCTGACTGTTTCAACGCTAGAGTTTGACTTCTTTACGATCCTTTATCTGAGAGTCTCCGTGAGGTCTGTAGTGGCTACAGTTTATCCAAGGAACCCAGTCTAGCTACTTAAAGATTCTCGGTTAAAGGCTACAGAAGCAATCAACCACCTCCTCCCTCCTTCAGAATAACAAGCCTGGGTGTTCTAAATGAAATCTTCTAAAACCAAATATATACATATATAAATATATATGTAATTACAGAAACTACACTATCAGAGAACTCAAATCTTGACAACCCTGCCACATAAAACCCTATTCCTTTAAAACAATTTAATATTTCCTGAGTGACCAGCAAAATGCTTATGGGTTTTCCTAAGTGGAAGTAGGAAAAATAAAATTTCAGAACTTTAAAATGGAAGATTTGCAGCTGATCAAAAATTACAACGTTGTATGTATGTCCTGTTTTAAGAAACCAAGCCAGGAAAATCAAGGAATACAATTAAAGGAACCATGAAGATTATCCTAGGAGAGTCTATCTTTGTTAAAGGGAAGACATGTTCACAAGTTAACATTTTTACTTCTGCTGTTGTTTGTTGACTGTGGGGGCTGGGGTTGGGGAAATGTTCCTGTGACCAACTGTTTCAGCCTAAGAAAGCCATACCGGACCAAGCAAGAGAATGCAGGCTAGATCTTTGAGTTTTCTAGCCACGTGTTGGCAAGCTTCAGGAGCTGGTCTAGTTAAAGTGTCCGGATGAACTCCTGTGGGTGGGGTGACCAGAATCTAGATGTTTCACCAGAACTCCACAGGAAAAAAAAAAAAAAAAAAAAAAAAACCACCTTGCCTTTTTTTTCTTTCTTTTTTTTTTTTTTTCTTTTTTTTTTGTTATAGCTTTCAAGAAAAAGAAGGCAAGGATGAATGTGGACACTGCCTTTAAGATGGCATTTCTGGGATTTTTGAGGCTCACTTGGAGGAAGGTGACCTGACTACTGCACTAGCAGATACAAGCAGCACCCACCCTGGAGGCTCAGCTTGGAGGGATGTTGAAACAGGGCACCTGTTTCCCCGACCTCAGCACTTTTCCCCTCACCCCACAGTCCACAGGTCCCTAGCCCCTTCCCACATGGCCTCCACCCTTCCTCTCCTTCCGTCCCTCCCTCCTGACCTCAAGTGCCATAAAAGTAATCCTACTTTGACCAAGGTCCAGGAATTTGTCAGGTTGTGTTTTAGCCAGAAATGAACTCTCTGCCCCCATTTTAGATCCCAAAGTTTTCCACACTGCCTTTGTCCAACACATTATGTTTTCTTAAGATCCTGGGCCCTTTTCAACTTTTGGTCGCCGATATATTTTATCACTAAAATTTACTGAAAAGGTTTACCCTGTGTGCCACACTAACAGCTTTGCACGTAGTATTTCCTTAATTTTGTCAACACTTTTTGTTTTCTAATTTATTCACTCTAGTCTTCATTGTTAAGTTAGGGAAAGTGAGGCAGGGAGTAAAGAACTGACTTGCTGAAAGCCTCACAGGTAGTAATTAGATGATCCTGGCTTCCAGCTCAGGCACTCTGGCTCCAGAGACCACTTGTCAATGGCTGTGGAAGGGCTGGCGCATATTTCAAGACTGTGTGAAGAGGAGCCAGATTCAAAAATGCCCAAGGGTAAGTGAGATCAGATGACAGTAGCTGGGCCCCTGAGCTATCCAGTTCCCTCTTCCCCCTTCCAGTCCTCAAGCCCTCCTACCAGAAATATCATGAGCTCTGTAACCTAGTTGCCTAAGGCAGCTATGACTGTTAGGGCAAAGAGCACCAGGTGGAGGAGTACCTAATAGGGACATTTCACAGACCTGAAGCTGAAGATGTGTCCAGAAATTTCCCCAACCCCCTTCAGTGCCCTAAAAATCTCCCCTCAGAAGACCTTCAGTGGCTCCTTGTAGAGATTCCACCATGGATGGGGTGGGGGCTCATGAATCCCTGCTTCTAGGAGTTTTAGCAGTTGTTGGCTGCTGGGGAAGGAGGAGCCAGTGTTCTCCCTGCTATTGCCCCTGGTAAATTGTCCTTTCTCTAGTGGAGGTCCACAGCTCATACTCACAGGGGCCGCCGGAACTGGACTCAGACTGTGCTGTTGAGCCTGACACATGGTGGGAGGGGTCTTGGAGGAGTTGAAGAAAAGAGGCCCCATGACAAAAGTACATTGTGTACATAAATGAGATTCTCAAAGAATAAATAAAAATAGTTTTTGAAATCCATGGATGTTTCTCCCAGAGAGAAGTTTGGCTGGGCATAACCAGTACTCGCTGAGGATCTGAAAGGGGGCTGTGTTTGAGGAATCCTCCTTAGCAGATGTGCCGCACTAAATGCAGAGGAACAGCTAAGTAATTAGTCACTTAAAAAGAGCTCTGGAAAATGAGGGAAAGAGTGGGTGTACTCCCCCAAGGGCCCACTGTACATCTCTATCTTCTTTGGTCTTGAGTACCTCTCCTCTCTTGCCATTCTGTGTGCCTTTTAACAGAAAATCAAATTCCAAGTCAATAATTTCATCTTCGTCAAAAGAACTACATATTCTTTTTTTTTTTCATAGACTTGGCTAATGACAATAGTCTTGAAAGATTAGTACTACAAAACCCAGGTATATTTCATAAACAGTAAGGGTTTCAAAGATTCCAGATGTCTCTAGAAGCACAAGCAAGATGCTCTAAAAACAATGTTTCCTCATTTATCTTCAGAAAATATGTTCCAAGACCCACAGTATGTATCAGAATTCACAGCAATTACCGAACTCCCTACACACCTATCACTTTTTTCCTATACTTGATACTTATTATAAGGTTGAATTGAGAAAAGTAACAATAACTAATGATAGAATCAAGCTATTATAATAGTATAGAAAATAATAAATGGAAAGTTATAAATCAGTCATTTCTGGAATTTTCCAGTCGATACTTTAGAACCATAGCTCACTGTAGTTAAGTGAAGCCATGGAAAGCTACTGAGGATTAAGAATGACTGCTGTGTCGGGCCTTGATGGCGCACGCCTTTAATCCCAGCACTCAGGAGACAGAGGCTAAAGGATCTCTGTGAGTCGAGATCAGCCTGGTCTATAAAGTGAGTTCTAGGACAGTCAGGACTGTTACACAGAGAAACCCTGTTTCAAAATAAGAAAAAAAAATGGCTGCTGTAAACAAAAGGTCTGTTGTTTTCTCTAAGACTTCATCTCTAAAAATGAATTAGTAACTTAAAAACCTCTATTAGCATAAGATTATTGTGTGCAGCACAGGGTCCTGGGAAGGAATAGTGAAGCAAGGGTGTACAATGTAATTCAAAATTCAAAACGCTACCGATTAGAATCAACATGGGCAGCATGTCTATGTTGTCTCAAGCAGTCCTAGTAAGGGGAGGAAAACTTTGGGCACTGCTATGCTGAAGACTTGATGAGATTTTGCTGGTGGAGAAGTCTTTGCAACACAGTTTCTGCAACAGTTCGCAACAATCTACCATGTTTTTCTTCTATTTCTGATGGGCTCCTCCTTAGGAGATAAAGCAACAATCCACACGCTATTTGTCAGGCTAAAGGTCATGAAATGTCCCTTCTAACCATAGTTTGCAAAGCTTCTGCTGCTCGGCATGGAATGCTCTTAGGCTCAGCCTGGTTTGAGCTATGCTTGTTTCTAAAATGGG